ATTACCAACAACTATATATATATATATATACTCGTACAAGAAATTTTAGTTCTGGGTGTCTCTCCATCCATCACAAGAGTGCAGATCCTTCTATGGTTTATGCCTTATTATTTTACATCATCCACTTTCCACCAACAACAACAATAATAATAATAATAATAATATTTTTATTATTACTATACTAATAAATTTCTATTCCATGATATAAACTACCAAAACCAATTTTTGATAATTTCCTTCAACGGGTCTGTATTATTATTTATCAGTATTGTTATTACGTTTTTTAATACAAACTGTTTGTTTAACTGCATCAAATCAAACTTTACACATTCGTGATAGAAAGCTAAATGCTAAATAAATTTGTGGTTAAGATTAAAAAAAAAAAAGTTGAGGTTTTTATATTTAAAAAATGTGAAAATTTTCTAAAACTAAAAAAAGTGCTTGTACAGTGACAGTTTATTTAGTTAAAAGAATATTTTTAAGATAAAGAATAATTAATTTAAATAATTAAAATTGATTGATTCTAATAAATGTAACTATTTTAAATTCGATCAAATAAATTAATTTTAATAAAATATATTTATTATTTAAAAAAATAATTTTTACCAAATTTTGCTAATTTTAGACAAGTTTGACGAAGATTTGGCCGGTTCCCGTTAGTAATGATATCAGACAATTGCGACGGTGAATTTCAAACTGGAAACAGCAAGAAACGTAGGTTTGACTCCCCTCTTATATTTAGTTTGATTAAAACTCAAGTTAAGGTTGATATGAATAATTTTTTCAAACTAACTGCTGTTTAATCTATGTTTATGAAATGTTCTATTCGAATGTAAAATAGCCCGTGTACTAATTAGTGTAAATAATTTTTACATTGTTTTAATTAGTTATATAAAAATTATATTCATAATATATATTTATTTATTAATAGAGTAAAATATTTTTATCAATATAACAAAATTACACTCATTTATAAATCACTCAATTTAACTCATTAACTTGAATTACATAAAGCAAAAAAAATAAAATACGATAATTTATTTAAAATCATAACTTAATAAAATTGGGTTAAGCTGATTTTTTTTACATGAGATGTAATCCAAACTGACTCAACTGTGAATAAGTTAGTTTGAGTAAGATAATCAAGTTTGTTTTTAAAAATTAACTTTCTATGATCTATAAAATTAAAAAAAAAATTATACTTAATGATATTAATACACTAAATTATATTAAATTGTATAATTTTAATAAAAATTTATTATCTATAATTTGTTGTAATATGCAATCCTACACAAATTAATAAGATGGTAATTAAATATGCACACATAATCATCCCAACTCAGGGCCCATGGACCGCAGGAACTCACCAACAGTATGAGATCTCCATTCGAGTTATTTTATTTAAACAATAATCACTTTTTAAAATAAAAACATTTATTATATTAAAAAAAATGGGTTTACCAAAATGCCCTGCAAGCCCGAAACAGCCATCACCGTTTCTGGGAAAGATATTTCTCTGCCGACGAACTCTTGAAACCGACATCACCCGGGCGCCACGTGTCCAATAACCGTAGCCGGCGCCGTATCCGCCATCCACGTTTCGGGCGCCCCACGTGCGACAAAGCCCAAAGCAGCAAACATGACAACGGGGGTCGCGGGGCCCACGGTGTTGGAGATCATGTTTTGTGGGGATTACGTGGCATGAATCGCATGGTACAGGGTTAAAGTTGGAACGGGAAAGTGCGGGCCCATGGGACAAGAGTCCCTTTCCTCCAGATAAGGATGGGCCCAGGATAGGGATGGGCTTTTTGTGTTGTGCTCTGTGGAGGTGATGTCATGGGTGTGTGCGGTCTTTGTCGTGGGGCCCTAAGCCCACGTGCCAGCCCACGTCCTGCTGCTCTCAGACGCGGTGGTAGGTTGTGAGCGGATGTTATTGTGATGGATAGCGCTGACAACAACTGATGCTCCTCGTTGAGGTTCCCCTTGTCCCTCTCAATCTCACTCTATTCCCTCTCCCCAAAAATATATTCAGAAATGAAGTGACCTCAATAGTTCTTTGTCTACCAATTTTACAATCAACCTAAATCAAATTATTAATGCCATCAATTTCCTTATGAATGACCTTTTCTCTGGGTAAGTTTTACACCCTTCAAATCCCTTTAAAGGAAGTTTTAATTTAACTACTTAATGCATTTGGTTAATGTTTAATGATTCACATTCTCATACATGTAATTCACAGCATGCGAGGTTATGACAAAAAGAAAGAAAGAAAGAAAGAAAGTCTCCTTAACTTTTGAAGGATTTAAAACTAAACGGTGATGTGTATAATTCAATATACGTGTGTGCAGGCCCGGGTCTGGATCTCTGGCCTACAAGTCTACAAGAGTACAACTGGCCCATGTTGATAACCCTCAAATGCTATTATTAGATTTACCCAAAATATATATCCAATAAGTGATTTTTTAAGTTTTAGTAAGCAAAGAATAGTACAAATTTCCCAATCAATAATACTCCTCCGTTGACTGTTCCTTAGAAGAGAACAGTGCGCTTTTATTTCAAAGAAGTATTCACTCTTTTAATTTTAAAATATTTTCTTCAAAACAAAATATTTATTTAACATATAATAAACGAAACAGCTAATGAGGCAGGGTAGGGTAGTTTATGGCACATTAATTATGGCCTCTGTGTTTGTCAACCCTCCGCTTCCTAACAAAGCAGCAAGTCGTGTATCAAACTTAATTATATATTCATAATGGCTTAATAGTTTGATGAGTAGTACAGTCACTGTAGCTTGATTAGGAGAATTCTGCAGACAAATTTCTCAATCTGAAAACAGTGCAAATTGTTGGCCCATAATCAATATGTGGATACCCAGTTGGATTTTAAAATATGATTTTGTGTGATACAAAAGCAAGGGTTTTCATGAAGCTTTCTAGTTCAACAATAATGAACCGTTTGATTCACACCTTTGGATTTTCGAAAGGCCATTTCCTGAGATACCAAAAATGGCTCTAAAAGCTTTTGTTATAGAGCTGACAAAATCTACTTTGGTTCCTTAAAGGGAATGTGTGGTGCCTACAATTCTACATTTGTGGGATATATGGACTCTAGAGAGCAAAGCAACTTTCTTATGCTATGTGAATTGGTTTGGTTGAGTGGCCACTATCTCAGGTCCTCCAAGATATATGAATTGACATTATTATTAGGTCATTATGGGAGAAATTAAGAAAGTCACAGTTGAATTGATGTTGAACCTTTTGGAATTGGTAGATGCGGCTTCTCAATTTGCAACTTAATTTTTCCGATCACCATATCCTCCAAGAGACCCAGTGGAATCCTCGCAAGAGCCATATAACCAAGTCACTTTTAATTGGGCTTATCATGTTTCTAGGTTCACTGAATGTATCAAAATTATATGTTATAATAAATTCAGTTTGTGGGTTTTGAATTAAGCCAAACACATTATTAATTTATTAAATTGTTACTGTTCCAGTCATATATCATCTTAAAAAAATAATCTTATTAAAATTAATATGGTTTTAAACAATTACAGATTAAAAAATTACTAAGAGTTGGTTTAAAACAGTTTGGTAAAACACTAAAATAACAGGCGTTTAGATAAATGCAATGACCTCATTATAAGTAATTATCACATGATATTTAAGCTTTTGAATATTTATATATTTTTAATATAATAAATTGTTTCATTTTTTTTACTTTTGATTTGTTATTTAATATTTAAGCTTTCAGCCATCTTTCTTTATAAACTCTGAAACAAACCCTTTCAGAAAAGGGGCACTAATCTTGGTTGCATCTAGAAAACCTCTCTTGATTATTGTTTTTGGGTCAGAAATTTGATGCTGTGTTTTCAATTTTTGGATAAAGTTTTTGTATTTATTGTCAAGCTGGGCTCACCATGAGGTGCATGTTTATAACTTATGAATGGGATTCCTGTATCTACCCACTTTGTTAGCATTTTTTTTTTATTAAATCTATTTTTGTCCTTCAACTTTATTTAGGATAATCATTTTTGTATATGGGCTTTAACTGAATTGGGTTTGAGAGGCCCACTGAACCAATGACAAAAAGTATTGCTGAGCATGATAACTAATTTTGTTTCTCTAAAGCTTTTCGCTGTAATAAATTAGCATTTTTATTTACGGTTGAATGGAAAATTAGTATTTAAGAATTGATTTAACAATCATCCTTGAATAGTTGATTCATCATAAATTCTGATGGAATTCCATTAATTCTGTTATTCCTCTTTCTCTTGGGTAAAATGAGCTATACTGTAAGATTTTTGTATGATTAAGATTTACATAATTTTAAGTATAAAAATAATTATTATAAATTATTTTATTTTTATGTAATCAATCTCTATAATTTATAAATATTAAATTTTCAACGAAAGTATTTTTAAGAATATTTTTATTTAAAATTATTGTTTTTCAATTAAATGTGAACAATTTTAAAAATTATTATCTATCATTATATCAAGTAATTTTTCATATTACGTATTTATTTTTAAATTTAATATTATTTAAAATTTAAATTACTCATATTTTTATTTAAAACATTTATCATTAATAATAACAATATTTACTCATTTTAAATTTAAAAATACTCACATAATATACTTTAATTAATTTGATAATATATGATTTTATTGAACAATCATAATTCTTTATTAAAATTAAAATAAAATAATTTTTTAAAGTACTTCTGATTAATGATCAAAATATAAAACTTATTTTATATAATTAAATTATGATAATAACCCTTTATAAACATAATTAATAATTGGTTTTTTATCGTTAATCAAAACAATATTGGAAAGAATCTGGTGCGCATCAATTCTCCAAAATCGAATTAAAATTTTGCTATACTATTTTTTTTTTGGGTAATATTTCATAAAAAAGAGATTTTTGTAATATATTCACAAGAAAAAAAGAGTTTTGTAATATATACTTTAGAGTGACATTAAATTGGAAAAAGAGCTTAGCAAAATCGAATTAAACTGTACAGTAACTTATTCCCTCACTCCCAGAATACACAACACAACAATGAGCCGCAAGAGAGACAAACCCTACTTTTCCCGCCACGTCCCCTACGCCGCCGCCAAGCGCCGCCGCCCATTGCCGGAATCCACGGAGGAGGAGAGGCCCACGGTGAGGCCAGCGCCGCCGTCCGCGGTGGTTATCATGGGCCTCCCCCAAGACTGCTCCGTCCTCGATCTCAAGTCCCGATTCGAGATCTACGGCACTATCTCCCGCATCCGCATCGACCGCGACACCGTCGGCTACATTACCTACCGGAGCAAAGACTCCGCCGACGCCGCCATCGCCGCCGGCCACGACCCTTCCTTCGGAATCACCGTTAACTCCAAAAAGGTACTTTCTTTTTCCCTTTTCTTACTTAGGGTTTCGAAACTCTCATTTTGATGAGTGTTTAGAATTTTGATGAAAGTTCGAAATTCTGAAGTTGAAGACAGCCACGATGAAGGCTAAAATTGAGCAGAATTGACAAAATTTCAGCTTAAATGTTTAAAGGTAGATGGAAAAAAATTGAAGCTTTGAATTTAAAGGAGGACAATTATAAGGCCTGAAATTGAACATATTTGACAGATTTTCTATCTAAATGTTTATAATTTTGGTAAAAATTCGAAACTTTAAGAGGAATACAAAAATGATTAGGCTGCGTTTGAATAACAATTTAAGTATTTATTCGTTAAACTTGTTGCATACGGAGTTTATACCATAAATTAAACTACAAAATTTATTTATGTAAGTTAAAGATAATTTATTTTAATAAACTTCATAAAAAAATTAAAATAAGTTAAGTCAAATTTATGACTAGTAAATTCTGCATGGAATCTTCTAAACAAACCCGAAGCTAGAAAGTGAAGAGCTCTGTTTAGTGACATGTTTCTTGTGGGTTAATGAATTGTTCAAGTACTTATTTATATGGGAAAATTGAAAGAGATTGATGCGTGGCAACAGGTTCAGGTGTTGTGGGCAACTGACCCTCTAGCCATGTGGAGGGAAGGAGTTGGTAATAACAAGGATAAAGGGTCTATGTCAAAGCTTGTGCGTGCTGAGGTACCTTTGAGCAAGCATGGGAGAGGTAATAGACTCGCTTCAGCTATAGGGAATACCAAACGTAGTGAGGATAGCAGCTCAAGTACCTCAGTTTTAGAAGTGCCTTTCAGGGGCAGAGAAATTGTTGCTTATGATGATATCCTTTAACTCTCGAAATCAGCTCTCTTTATTCTGTACTAATGATTGAATTTAGATGTTTGTAGGTTCTCTTTTCCCCTCTTTTTCAAATTATGTTTATGGAAGGTAATTATGTAATATAGGTGGTGGTGATATTTAATGTTTTCATCGTGAATGTAATGTGGTAAATAGTTGGTTTTACATTGTGCAGGAAATTTTCTAGTCAAAAGTTGGCAAGATACCTTTTTATTTTAATTAAATTTATTTGATTTTATGGTTTTGCCTCATTGCAATTGCGTGGACGATTCTGACATCGGTTGCAAATTTTGAGTGTGTATGAAGGGCGATTCTGACAATGCTGGGAACACTTTTTGTAGCTTTTCTTGCAATGGACACTGAATGGTGAATGTGTGTATGAATTGGAGTTTTTCCTGATTTGGGATCATTTCGCGTATCAGAAGTTTCAGATGGAAATAATTCTAAATTCTCTAAATTCTAAAACAAATAAATTAAGTAACAATTCAATAGTTCAAATAAAATAATTTTTGAAAATATATTGCATAGTTTATTAAAAAATTTGAAAAGTATATTTTATTATTAAGAGATAATATTTTTAAAAATAAAAAATTAAATCTAAATTAAGATTGGTCTGTATTACACTAATTTTAAAATTGAGTTTATCTAAAAGACAAATATACCTTTATTTAAATTTAAATTTTAAATTAAATTAAACATGAAACTAAAACAATTAATATTAAAAAATTAACAAAAAATTAAACATATAATGCAGTAGAAGTCATATAGATAATATCTTCTATATACGTTTTCATTTAAAAATGTTGATTCAAATTTAATATAAAAACCAGATAAAAATAATTATAAACTTATCTAAAAAATTTAGTGGTTCATTTGTCTTTTTTCCGTTCTAGAAAAACGTTTGTTAATTAAAACATGTTTAAAAAATCTATAAGAATTATTTACTTTTTTCAAAAAGAAAATATAGAAAAACTGTTTTGATATTTTCTTTTTCTGTTTACATTAGATTATAATTTTGCTTTATTTTTTAAACTAATTCAAATACGACGTTCAATTAAAAAGATAATTGAAAATATTTAAAAAAGTATACTTTTTTAGAAGTAATCAGTAACAATCAACAAACAACTTATCAAATGTGACGAGAATACAGGTATGGACTCTCTTTCTGGGGGATAACAGGAACAGGGTCGACACTCAGAAGACATAAAGTAACTAAAACTGATTATGGAAAAAGACGAAGAATGGAAAAAAGCAGAGAACAAAGATGAATCACAACAACGACTATGGAGTTGGGGTGCTGGAACTGAGGGACAGTTAGGAACAAACAAGCTTCAAGACGAGCACTGCCCTCAACTCCTTCACCAACCCTCTCTCTCTTCCATCTCTTCCCTTGCTTGTGGCGGCGCTCATGTCTTAGCCTTGACCTCCGGTATGGACCCTTTTTTCTTTATCAAATTTGTTTACTTCAGTTAAATATTGAATTTAAACACCTAATAAATATTTTTTATTTTAATAAAAGATTATTATTTTTTAATGTTTAAATTCATCAGCTAAATTAACAATTTTTTTGTATCTGCACTTTATGTTGATGTTAATATTATTTAAAACAAATGTAGCTGGGAAGGTACTATCATGGGGTAGAGGCAATTCTGGTCAACTAGGCCATGGGGAGGTTTGTAATAACGCTTTGTATCCCAAGTTTATGACATCATTGGATGGCTACTTCATAACCCATGTCTCTGCTGGTTGGAGCCACTCAGGTTTTGTTTCAGGTTTGTACTATACTGTCTGTGTCTCCATTCTGTTTGTCAAGTGTTTAGTTGAGGTGTGTTCTTTTTTGAAAGTGATTATTTTTGCTTTTTATTTGTTCTTGGTTGGTTTTCAGATTCTGGGTCTGTGTTCACTTGTGGGGATGGTTCGTTTGGTCAACTTGGGCATGGAGATTATGCCTCGCACTGCTCTCCTGTCAAAGTGTCATGCTTTATTAATCAGCACGTTGAACAAATAGCATGTGGCATGCGCCATTCCCTTGTCTTGTTAAAAGGTACTGGATTGGTTCAAGATTTCAAGCTGTTGCCTAAACTACTTGAGTTTCTGTTTCTGGAAGAATGTGTTATATGTGGTGTGTTTTATCTCAGTTTTGGCGGCTGTGTTGCTCCTTTTTCAGTAACCAAAGGTCATTGTGATGCAGATTGTCCAGTAAACAAAGTTTATGGATTTGGCTCTGGGAAGCGTGGTCAATTGGGTGTCTCCAAAGATAGGATCAAATCTGTTAATGTTCCTAAAGTTGTTAGTGGCTTTACAGATGTGAAAATTGTTGAGATTGCTGCAAATGGAGATCATAGTGCTGCAGTGTCTGGTAAGTTCACCATTTTGCCCTTGCATGATATGTTTGTGATCTTACATTTTTCTCACTAGGTCATCTAGCGTCATTCATACAGAAAATAAGTTGGCCTAGAAGTGGGATAGTATGATATCTTCTCTAATTAGTTCTATTATCTTCAGTTGATGGGCATATTTACACATGGGGAAGAGGCTTCAAGGGCTTTGAAGATGATCACATTCCTCACTGCTTAAACTCTACATTGAATTTTACTAAAGTTGCTGTAGGATGGAACCACGCTTTAACTATGACCGGTATTTATTGACACTGCATATCCGACAAAATTTTGTTAACCTTGGTCCTTAAAACCGAATTTAAGAATTCAAAAAAGTATTTTTTTATTGAAAAAAATTATTTATTAAATTTTGTATCTCCAATATAATAAATATTTTCTTTCTCAATAAAATTTTACTACTTTTGGATACTTCAACTCAGCACTAAGGAATCTGGTTAACAAAATTGCAAATTTTGTGATTTTCTTATTTCCTCCCTTTTGTCACTTGTCTGTTTAAGAAGTGTGAATTTTGTTGTTAAATTTGTGCATAGGTGAGGGGGAGGTTTATATGCTTGGCGGGAACCATCTTGGAGTGCTTAGCGATCTTCAGAATACGAGCCCAGCTAAGCAGTTATCTGGTAATGCATTCAAGTTACTTTTAACCTTAAAGACATCATAGTTTTTGCATACATATCTAATCCTTAAAGAGTGTCAGTTATCATCATCATTCCGTAGTCTTGACCATTTTACTGATAATTCTAATATTTTGGTTAAATGCATTTAAAAATATTGTAAACTTAATTTATCTTTGGGAAGCACTCTTGGACAATTATTCAATATAATGGAGTCGGTAGGATCAAAAGAGGCAACTAATATGATAAATATTATATTGAACGTAAATTTGTGCAAAAAAATTGATATGATATTTGCATGAATTAAGATAAATTTAACGGTGAAGAAAATTTTGATTTTTCTAATTGTGTAAAATGTTGTTTAAATAGCATTACCCTTATCATTATTATGGTTGGTACTTTTGTATTAGATTCAAAAGAAGCAAATTTGGAGAAAGTCCCTGACCTCGATGGCATGAAGATTGCTGATATTGCTACCGGAGCTGAGCATTCAGTCCTTGTCACAGGTAAGATATAGTTGTCTTCTTATTCTTTAAACATATTTAAAACCACTTTAACTGGTTGATTTATGTCTTTCTTATTTTTAGAGAATGGAGAAATAAAGACATGGGGTTGGGGTGAGCACGGTCAACTTGGCGTAGGGGATACTTCCGACCAAATTACTCCTGTTAATGTAAGACTTGGGAATGATATGAATGAAACTGCATCAATCAGAGTTTTCTGTGGCAGTGGATTCACATTTGCTGTAACCATGCCCTAGATTCCTCCCAAACTTGATGATGCTAATTTGATAAGCACGTAAAAAAAAGGTTGTCATTAGGTTGGTTTTGGTTCTGAACTTCCAGTGGCAGTGAATGGAATGATACATGCCAAGAAAGTCTTATGCTTCTCAAGTGTTATTTTGGGTTCAGGCAGCCAACAATGTACTTCGAAACCGTAAGTTCCACTGGTCCCTCACAAATTTGACAACTATGAGGGAGAAAGGACGTGAATATGGATGATCCTATTCTCAGCCAAACAAAAAAATCGAGGGAAGTAATTCATGCCATTACAATTTGTGGACTATTCTTGTTGGGGTAGGTTGGAGGTGGACAATAATCGTCACTTGCCACTAAATCATGTTTCCCAAATTCTGGATTAGGTTACATGGCAATGATATTCCCAACCACTCACCATTTTATTTTGCTTGTAACTATAAGAATTGTGATATTTGTCCAATTAATAATGTCACTTTTAGAGTACGTCACTCCTATATCGGTTTCTTATCGTAATTATTATTGATTCGAATTGACTGAGACTAACGAATGTCAAATATGTTTTCTTCCAACCTCGCCACTCCTCACTTGAAGAAATATACATACAGAGAAGGAAGAATATCAAGCTGGATTTGAAAGCAAGAATACTTTTAACTTCTAGTACTGTAATAATATGCTTAACTGAACCATTTCTCATCTTTTACAATTGATCAGAAACTATGCCAAGAACAGCTTGTGCTTTTATTACCACAACTAACCCGTAGCATTTGATGCAGCGTGGCACCACTTACAGAATTATATGAACATGTTAAAAATGATTGAATTGGATCAATTAGTCATCAATCAATATATCTACATCTAAAAGTGGTACAAGGACTAAGAAAAAGAATCAGTGAACTACTCGCTCAATATTTGTACACGAGTGAAAAAATGGGTGACTAACCTAGCGCATATCATCCTCTTCTGTGATCTACAGATATTATCTCAAACTTATTCTGTCACATCAATCATGAATAATGAGAAGATTATTATCATAGCCATTGTTGTGCACTACTGGGCGTAATGGATCAATTTTCCATTCTCCGTCTACAATGAACTTGATCTGCAACGGAAATGCAGATAATTAAAATGCCTGCTATGTGTTTTTTATTGGGCACAACATCAACAAGTTTAAGAAATCATTAGTTGATCAAGTACAGCTAACCTCATACTTTCCAGGATACAGCTGCAAGCACACAGAAAATATTCCAGTACTTGACTTCTCCATCTTTCTCTGCAATATAATTAGTATCTGTTAAATATCATGTATTTATATATCTTATGCGCTCAGTAGAAATAATCTGAAAAGCGTCGGAAAAAATATCTATACAAAAATATTGTTATGCTGCAGTGTCCATTCCATCATTCCACAAATCAAATTAACCAGAATTGATTTCAGAAAATTCATTGACAAAAAAGAAAGCAATTTAATTTTATCAATCAACCACCTGCAATGGACCAATGAATCCTAGACAGAAAAGTGAAATAACACAGGCAGAATATTAGGTGAAAAATAGGGGTTAATCGGAAAAGTAGTTTTGTTTACGAATCCCTAACCCTATTGTGTATGCACACATCCTAAGTGGTTTATTCTTGAGCAAGGTTGTGTGTTAAACCTGACCCGCATAAAATAATCCATCTTGAGAGAAGGTGAGAATTACAAAATGCATCTTGAGGAAGGTGGTATTGTAAATAGCTTTAGCATATTTATTAACATAAAGGGTATTGCATAATACATTCAGAGTGAGCTTGAAAAATCTTTTTTAAAAAGTGCTTTTAAATATAATTGTTTTATTACCTCTTTCTTTTCAAAAGTATACTCTTTCTGGCTTTTGAGAAAAGCAACTGCTTTTTTTTAATTATCTTAAATTTGTTAGAGATGTCTTTTAATTAAAACAAATTGTTTTTTGCTCAAACAAGTATAAACATACAGGCTCTAATATCTATTATAACAAAATTAAAAAGTACTCAGAAAGAGATTAGACCTTTGTGGACCAACCATCAAATGATCCAGTTAAAAGTACTTCTGAAGCATTACTAGGCCAAACTACAGAAGTAGTCTTCAGAATTTGCAAAGCTTTTTGAGCATTATTAATCTTCTTCTGCTTTTCTTGGACTACCTTGTGTGCATCCCTGAAAGAAAAGGATGTGATATTGTCAAAATATAGGATATATATATATATATGACATTAATTGAATGGTGTCTGAGGATACATTATTGCCAATGCCATCTTTCCTTCTAACACTGCCAACTTAGCCCGTATAGAACGCAGTCTGTCCTGAGCATTCATGATCTCATTTTCTTGGAATTCCCAGGCATCTGAAAGCTTTGCCAGATCATCAGAAGAGCTCTCCTGGCCCTATTGAAAAATATACAGCAGGCAAATCAGGACCAGTTTAGGATCCTGAGGAGAGGCCTTTATATTAATGTTGACAGTGAATGAAAAACAGCTTTTGTGGCAAACAAAACTATATTTTTGGTAGCCAGTAGCTACTCCTACACCAATTAAGTCACGAAAACTGTTCAATGTCTTAAATATACTGATTGTTCTTGGTTTATCAAACCATAGAGCCAATGAAACTCTGTTAACACACAGCAGATGTGTTAGGCCATATTAAGACCTGAGAAAGAAAGAGAGATGTCCAACAAAATGAAAGGTTTCCACCAAAATGGATAAAGGAGAAAAAATTAAACTTCTTTCAACAATATTGGATAGACTTATTGCAGACAGTTTTAGTAACATTCATATTTCTTGGTGTACATCATTCAACATATGCTATTATATGAAGAAATTGACAAATGTATTGTGTTTGCATCCATTGATGAATCCCTTGGTTTGTGTGGTTCTTGCATCCCAAAACAAGTGGCACAGCAAATTTTATTCTTATCTATCCTCAATTCTCATAAAGATTAGTCATGTCCAAACTTATGGCAATGCATAAAAACTGCTATAGATAAGCTAAACTAACTCCACTAGTGTTTTATTTTTGGACAAAAAACTGCAGTAGTAACTCTGCCCACCCTCCCCCTCCCAAATAGAGGTGGAGGCAAATTCTGATATTTTTTTTCATTTCCTATAACTTGTAAATCAGGATCCCTCCACTTGCCTGGCATGACAAAGTAAAGATTATATCTCAGTTAGCAAACATGTAAATCTTTTGTTGTTTCTTTTCTTTTTTGTCGGGGTAGTTCAGTGACAAGTTCCATTATTAGCTTATTATAGAATTACACTCACCGTCTGCATTTTAACTATATCTGAACTAGACCTCAACGAGTTAAGTACAGAAGATAGCTCTGACTCCAGATATTGGATACGGGATTTTATGTCATTGTGATTTGCATTTCCATCAACAGAATATAATCCAGTTTCTTTGTTTATAGTTTCACAAGAAAACTCTCTCCCATTGAGGATATCAGATCGTCCTGAAACGTCAGTTACACCTCCTTTCTGAGTTTCACCAGGAACAATTTCAGCGTCTGTATGTTATAACCATGAAGACATCAGTTCCCGACCACAATGCTAAGAAATAAACTACCTGAAAATGTAAAGTAGTTACCTTCAAAATCAGCATCTGAAGAACCATTTCTCTGAATAATCCAATTCCTCCACATCTCTGGCTTAAGTGAGTTTCTTAAATTGTCAGTACCTAAATGAGAACTGTGCAAATCATGTTTGATCTGGGAACCACTGAGATGATTGCTTGTAGGACTCAATGAGCTGCTACTATTGTCAAGGTGAGCAGCTACCTTTACAACACAGGAGATACCAAAAGGAATATTTCAAAGTTTCAACAAAGTAGTGAGGGGCATCAAAAGTAATATTTAAAATTTTGATTCTCTCACAAGTCACAATGTCAGGGTACAACAGCTCACTGACACACATTGAACAGTAAAACTATAGAGTAATTAGCTTTATGTTTAACTGATAGGTAGAACTATATAATAGAAGACACATCGAAAATGCAAATGTTAAATAAAAATTTTTATTATTCAAATGTTTCAGAACTCCAATAGTAATGATTATTTTTTAAGTTTTTTATACTCTTGGCATATGATGTAAACAGTCATAGAAACTAAAGAACAACCTAGAGCATTTGAAGGGGATGACATTTACTTACTGCATCTGCTGTGGCTCTGTGATCCCATTCATCTTTATCTTCATTATTTTCGAAAGAAACATTACCTTCTTTCTCTCTCAAGCCAAGTCCAAAAGAACTATTTCTTTGTTTCTCCAGCCGATTCAATATACCCTCAATACCAGATTCCTCAGCTTCTATTTCCCTGTTAAACAGAAATAACACTAAGGATTCTGTTTATTGCTTGAAGTTATATCTAATTCATCCATTTCACAACATGAGCAATACAATGGCAAGAAAAAAAATCGTGAATACTTAATAATTAGATCATTGTAGCAAGATTAAAAAACAACAACCAAGTTTTTTGCCACTAAGTGGAGTCGGGTACACTGACCAAATGACACCAAAACGTTTTGTCATGAAACAGTTTCACCTAATGTTTTACTTGCTCTCCCTCTCTAGTGATTGGGCTGCACTTCAGTCTTTCATTTGATTTACTTTCCTTACTAGCCACTGGAGCTTCTACAAGCTTTTCACACATACTCAAACCACTAAGGCAATCTTCTGCCATCTTCTTTGAAATAGCTGCTAAGCATGTCTAACCATTCAACACAACATTCTCATCTTGTTAGCTTTTTACCACCCAAACCCAACATCAAAGGTCATATAGTTGTGCAGTAAATTCTTTCCTTAAGCTTCATCTTTATCATTCTTTCACAGATAACACCCAAAACACCCTCCATTTCATCCACCCTACTTGAATCTTGTAGTTTACTCTCTAATGTAGCCGCAATATTAAAGTTGCACACAAATGTCCCAGATTCAAACCTCCTAAAACATCCATGTTTGGTCCTCAAACCTTGCCAACACATTTCAAGCCAGGAATGTTTTAATACAAGAGAAATTTGAAACATGAAGACATACCGGAAAGTGGGAAACAAAGTATTGAAAAGCAAAAAGATAAGGAGAGGTGCATCATTATATCGGGATTCTCACAGTGATTTAGCTGGTTGAGAAGGAGAAGAAGAAACCCCAGAAGCCCGAGTTTCATTACCATCAATTTCCTTGCCACCCTTATCTTCAAAATCGTGAATTTCACTGGACCCATCATTCAAATCCCACCCAAACGCAAGCCATCCTCCTTCGTCAGCAATGGCGTGAACCAAATCCACCCTCCCAGCAGCAACCAACTCTTCCTTCGTGGGAAACGCTTCAGGCTTATCGGAATTCTGCATGAACTCCAAAATCTGCGACTCCAGAGAGGACAACTCTCCCTCCGAATCCTTGCACCGCCTCAAGAACCGAGAGCAAGACCAATAGCAATTCCCCTTCTTAAAAGAATCCACGCACACAAAAACCGAACCGGGATCGTTGAGAAGCGCGAACCGGCGCACCCTCCCGTTGGGGCCGAAGGAGGGGAAGAGAGAAGGGATCAAATGAGGGGAGAACAGGGAAAGAGAAGGTGCAGTGAGAAAATGCATGGTTCAGGCATTTCGTCGAACAGTTACTGTGCGAAACAGAGAGAGGAAGTGCAGCGCGCGAGGGAGAAATGATAAAAAGGGGAAAAGGGAGAAAGTGAGACCGCGAACGAAGCAACGAACAATGAATACAACACAAGACCTGAATTGAAAAGAAAAGAAAAGCGCTGCAGTTAACTTTTTGTTAGCATTATTGTTACTAAGATTGTGTTATCCACTTAGTTATTAAGCACATGGCTCACGCCTCACACGAAGAGGAGAACGAGATAGCTGTGTTGTTTTCTAGCGTTCATTTCCAACGCACTACACTACGTTGGACACCTGAGACACCCCACCCAGCCAAGAAAGCGAAGCATCCATAAATGTCATCAGCTCAAAACAAATCCAGTTATCTTCCTATTTCATTTCATTTTATTTGTTGTTTTATTAAATAAAAATATCAATTTATTATCAGAAAAATATAAAAATTATTTAGTTTCTTCATTTAATAATTAGACCTTAATTGCTTCACCTGATTGTTTTTCTAAAACTTTACTTTGTGGGTTATTTGATCCGTCACTTAATTTATTCACTGATAAAAAAGTTAGTCTTAGGCTAAATTATACTCATTTAATTTAATTTTTAAACTTTGTTTTTATTAAATTTAATATTCTAAATTGAATATAAATTTTATTCTAGTTCTTTAACATTTTTTATTCACTTAATTATTTTTTAATAATGATGAGTTAAAAGTAACTATTACATATTTATAATGAAAAATAAAAATAAATAATCAATAAAAAATTAATTTGTAAACAATCAAAGAAAATTTCAGGGGTGATTTTAATGCTTTAAAAAATTTTATTCATAAGTTTATAAAAGATATATTTTTATCCGAAATATTATTATTTTAACATTTTTTATTAGTGAATAGTTGAAAAAGTTAAAAATGATTTATCTTAAACAAGTAACTAAAAGAAAAAATTAAATTTAAAAAAGTCATAAATTAATTTAAAGAATTAAATTTAATAAAATTTTAAAGGATAAAATTAAAATTTATTTGAATTCAGAGGATAAAAAGTGTAATTTAACTTTAAAATTGCATTGAACATATTATTATTAGTGTTGATTGGTATTTGTCGATAAAATTTTATTTAGATAATGTTAATCCACGTACTATTAGAAATTGGTTCTGATTATTTATAAATTTTGTAATATAGCTATTAATTAGATTGCTTGAAAGAAATATTCACATAGGACATTTGAAATAAAAGGCAGAAGCGTAAGTGATGATAGAATACCAAGAAAACTTTTTGAAATATCTATCTATAATTGTTTCATTTTCCACGTATAGCCTTATGAATAGACCTTCAAAAGTTCTCTTAAATTATTGCCCATCGCTTGTCACTCTTCGGATTTTGTTCGTTTTTGGGAACCAACTTAGAATACTAGTGAAGGTGGACAAATTTTATAATATATATTTTATTAATTAAAATTATAAAATTATAAAAAATATTAAATTAACAATAAAAAAGTAAAATTGATATAAAATAAATCTCCATTTTTTCCCCCTACTAACTCCTCTATTTAAGTTTTTATTTTGTATTTTTACCATTTTATAAGGAACTATCTTTTGTCATTCTTATTTTTTACATTTGTCACTGTCAGTAGTCTCTAGTCATACAAACAACTCACGTTGAAACAGTTTTTAAATAAATAAATTAGTTAAAACAGATAATCTTAATGATGACTTACTGTTAGTATTACCGACAAATATTAATATATTTGGTAAAGTTTTTTAGTTGACTGAAATTTTATTCAACAAAAATAAATTTATTAATAAAGTAGTGAAAATGAAGATATTTTTTTTTAAACGTAATTTTAATTAACATTTTTAATTTTCAGCTATTAGTTGAAAATACTTTCATTGTTTTTAATATTTTTTGTAATTTCTTTTTATTTATCACATCTACTGCCAAAGTTACTTGTCAAAATATTTATTTAAAATTATCAAAATTAATTACTTTTTTATTGATATTTTTATTTTAAAAAATATCAAGCCTCATTTTCATGATATAAAATCATCTATAATCAAAATACTTTTGTATATTCTCTCATTTTATTTAATAAAAATATTTATAAATGAGATAAAATTTAAAATACTATGATCTTAATTTTTGAAAGGTGATAAATAATTTTAAAAAAATATTTTGTAAAATTTTATATTATTTAAAAGTATACAATTACAAAATTTTAAATTACTGTCTCGTGCTTTTAAAAGTAAATTCTTACATCTATCAACCCGTTCATCCATTATCTATATAATTACTGACTCATGCTTTTAAATTTCACTTTTAAACCAGAACTTTTAATTAACTTATCCATTAATTTAATCAAACACATCCTACATCTTCGTTGTTAATTTTTTTATGTGCTTACTTTTATTGAAAATTTGACCATTAATAATTGTAATTTTTTTAAAAGACGAGGTTGATTGAATTTTTTAATTTATATATTCTAATTAATTAATTACCAAACTTGCATTATTATTATTATTATTATTCCAAATAATATTTTTATGAATTTAATCAATTATTTTCTAGATTAATAAATTATTATATCAATTGATGGATTGGATTCAATGAATCATTATTCTTTGTCTACATTAAGAAATGATTGTTATAAATATTTCTATTTTAAAATCCCTTGAAAATAATTGTAGCCTTCCAAAATATATATATATATATTAGTCAAATGACACATTTAAGCTTTGAATATTAAAATTTTCTTTTGTAATCAACATTCCTTTCTTTGTAAAAAGGAAGGTTATTAATTAGTTTGTAATATTTTTTATTAATTAGTGTAAATATATTTTAATCAAATTTATTTAATATTTCTTACCAGGACATTTAAAAATATGAGACTACTTTCAAAAGTTCTATTTTATGCTAATCTAATGAATTATAATATCTAATTCAAGTATATGGCACATATCATCACAACATTGATTTGTTCCTTTTTTTTTTCCTTTAAAATAAGATTATTTGTCAAAATATTTTTGGCAGAGGATATACATTAGTCAATGTTTAATTTAACTTACAAAAATTAACCAAAAAAGTATCACATATATGAATTTTGTAATATTTAGTTGTCATGCTGAGATGCAATGAGCCAATTTCAGTCGTTTACATTGGCTTCAATCACAAAAAATAAAATAAAAATTAATCTATTTTGTTAAAAGCAAATAATCAATACTAAAGTTGTCTATTTAACTAAAGAAACAGATAATAATATCAACATGCATCTTTTTAACTAAACAAGTGAGATATAAAATTAAAATTACGAAAATTCATTCATGTCTTGACGTTCATAAACTTAATAAAGCTTCCTTTTATTGTATCTTTTTAATAAATAAATAATTCATCAAAATCAACAAGAAGTATCTAATGTCACTCTTATGTGTTATTATCATTTTTATTTAAAATATTTATATTATTAATATAATTATAAGAAAAAAAATATTTTACACAAAATTTATTTAAATAAAAGTGACAGTAATTACTAAGAGTGACAATAGACACATCCAAACTAATAAAAAATAATTATACATTATAAATTTACAGTATATTCTAAAATTGTTTATAGAAATAAATGGTCAAATTGATAAGTCATATATTAAATAAATAAATACATCCATTTATAAGTATAATTAATAAGTGTCTCGTTAATATAAATTTTAAAATAAATAAGAGTGCATAAAAAATGTAATAATTAATATATTCTAAAACAAGTCTTTATTTTTAAAATTTTTATAAAAGGAATTAGAAAAACTATTAAAAATATTCAAATGACTAGGAATATCCGTTTATTACTGAGGCCAAATGACACGTGATCTTTAATTTTATTGGGTGTGTGTTTAAATATATCCAGATTGAGTGTATGTTTTGGGTAAATCAGACAGAAAAGTTTTCCCCTATGTGGTGAGAATGGGGCTCTAGTTAGGGACGATCTACAACCCTGAGCAGCTTCCAGCTGCAAATCTGCGACGATGAATCCTCACCACCACCACCGGTAACTTGATTAATGCCTTTTCATGCACAAATTCAACCAATCCATTTAACTTTAATGGGTTTGATAAAAAAATATATATTATATTTTATTAAATTTTTAATGTCTTAACAATTAATGGTAGAAATTAATTCTGTGCTACCATTTTTTGGACTGCAGGGAATCCACTCTCAAACGGATGTGCTCACTGATCAGTTCATTTCGTAACACAAAACACAATTCAAGGTCATCACTTCAAAAGAAACTGCTGGATGATGAAAGCCTTGTTCAAATTTCAGAGCCGGAGACACAGTCAAATAAGCCAGGATGGAAGGCAATGCCATACATTATAGGTTGGTCTCTAAACTTTGTTAATTTGTTATGATTTTTGAAATTGATCAATCTATCTTTACTGTGTAGGGAATGAAACAGTTGAGAAATTGGCAAAATTTGGAATACAAACAAATTTCATGGTGTACTTGATGCGAGTATATAACATGGATCAGGTGTTTGCTTCAAATATTTTAAACACTTGGGGTGCTGTCTCCAATGTTCTGCCAGTCATTGGTGCCTTTCTTGCCGACGCTTATTTGGGAAAATTTTTAACAATTGTCATAGGATCCTTTGCTAATCTCGCGGTATGTTTTAATTTGGAAAATTTCTACCATTTATTTTTTATTCAGTTATTATATATGGGTCCAATACAAAAATAACGTCTTAATAAAGACTGAGTACATTGAATACAATAATATATTTATATATCAATGCTTCAATTTGATGTCAAATATCAGGGTAATAACACTAGATCGACGACGATGTATATAATTTCAAAACAAAAGTAAACTTTAATCAGGGATGGATTCAAGGGTGTGCATATACTCTAATTTTTATGTAAAAAACAATCTATAATTTTATTATTTAAATATGTAATTATATATGTTAAGTTTTCTTTATTTATAATCGTTTTCTTACATATTGTGACTCCGTCCCTCAATTCAATGGATATGATTAGTAGGGGAAAAAAAAATGCAATATCTCTTCCTGTGTAAAATTAGAATACTATTGCTAATAATCGAAGTTCGTTCCTTACTTTAATTTTATGGGTGAAGCATCGATAATATATAACAATAACCTTTTGATTCAATTTATCTTTAAATTATAAATTTAAACTTATGTTCAGACATAGATTAGCATTGCTGAAATTTTACTAATATTTGATCAGGGTATGATAATAATAACGTTGACAGCGAGCGTGACACAACTTCATCCCTCGCCATGCACACCTGAGCAACAACAACTTGGTGTGTGCATTGGGCACACTAATTTCCAACTGGGTGTTTTGCTTTTGGGTTTTTTCTG